GTCCCAAGCCGAGAGGAACACCAAGTGCCGCGGCCGGCGAGGAACACGCACAGCAGAGCCTGACACGGCTAATCCCCCCTGTTTATTATGTAATAAAACGCTTTTCCAGACCTGTTAAAATTTAATTAGTTTAATCTGAATTGTTCCATTTTCAACAGTGCATGCAAACACAGAGCCTGACCCTGCTACTCTCGTGTGAACCATCCCGCGGGCTGTGGTGGGAGCGGGATGGATCCCGCTGACCTCAGCAGGATTACATGCATGAATCAGAGCTGCAGGCCTGGGCTCGGAGCTGCAATTCAGTACCGGGCCGGACGCCAGCACAGGGCCCGGGGTCCACTTAGGCTCCACTTAAGCCCTATGGGATGCAAGTGGTACGCAGGCCTGCGGATGCGAGCGGCGAGCGAGCCTCGTGCTGGGCCTCTGCTGAAGGATGAATTTCAGCTCTGCTTCTTAACCTCACGGAAGCAAACAGGCAGCGATGGCTTCTGAAGCACGGAGCAAAGGTGCTGGGGAAGGACTGGTGAATGCGTGGTGGCGGCGGTGGCCTCAACAGGAGCCCCGGCACAGGAGCACTCGTTGTGGGAGCGCTATGCTGTGATTTATGACAGCTTCTCCTCCAGAGGAAGAGGTGTTTGACAGCCCTCAGCACGTCCACAGCCGCAGGGCCGTGCTGTGCAGCAGAGTGCCTTTGTCAAGCCTGTGTATCCTTTGTGCACAAGAGAAGCCGAATAAAAGCAGACAGGAGGGGGTCCTCGGTGCTGACATTTCCTATCCTGAGTTGCTTCAGATGTGGGATGACCTTTACCTGCTCCTGTGATTTGGCTCACACTGAGCTCAAGATGTCAGGCTCAGTTCCAGAGCTCCATCAGACACTGAAATCAAGGACAACCCTCCCTTTAGGGTCAAAACCCAGTACTCTGCCATGAGCCACTCTCATCCCTTGAAGTGCTGAGCGCTGAACGCTGCACACAGCTGCTGGTATTCAGCACCACTCAGATCCCCTACCTCAGGATCCCAACCTTGAAACGTGCACAGAAACTCTTGGTATGACCCTTTGAAAAAAAAATAAAAGAAAAAAAAAAAAAAAGAAAAAAAACCCAAACAACAAAACCAACAACCATTTATCATGCAGGTTTTGTTTTGGGACAGATTTCCAGCCCATACATCCCTGCAAGAACTGTGAAGCAAATGTAAAACAGCCAATGACAAGTGGAATGATAATAATCTTTAAAAAAAAAAAAAAATTGCAGTGATGTATTTCTCCCCAAAATGGGTACTGCAGGAGTGGTTGTTATTGGCAAAACCAAGTCAGGGGTTCCCAAGACCTGGGAGGCAGGGATGGGTGTTAGAGTGGCAGGATGGTGCAGGAATGGGACCAGATAGGGGGGACGAAAGCAGCAACTGCTGGGGGAGCATACAGCATCCCTGCCTTGGACGTGGCTGCTGAGCCCAAGGATTAAAGAATACATTTCATTCGAAACAAGAGTGGAAGAGTCACTGCTGGGAAAGCGTCGCGTTGGAATAAAGCCATTCTTCGCCCCGGGAGGCTGCGGGCCAGGGCTGCGCCAAGGCGGGTGTGCCAAGGGGAGCGTGTCCCGCCCAGGGCCGGTCGCTGCAGGCGAGGTCGCTCCGTGCCCCCTCGCCGCGGAGCCTCCCGGGGCCGGGGCTCGGTGCGCGGACCTCGGGCGGGCAGCCGGCAGGTGGCCGGCGGTGCGGAGCCGAGAGCGGCGGGGCATCGCTGGTACCGTCCGCCGGCCGCAGTCCCGGTGCCCGCGAGCGGCCCCGCCGTGCGGGGGCGTCCCCGGAGCGCTGCGGTTCTCACATAAATCAGGGCCGAGCCCCTGGGAAAGGGCCATCCTTCACCGGGCGCTGCTGACAGAGAACGAGAAACAGACGGGCCCTGAGATAAACCACGGCGCACAGCGTTTATACAAGGGCAGGCTCTGTGTAAATAGAGCCGGGCGCGGGGGGCAGCTCCCGGCGGCACGGACCCGCACCGGCCCCCACCGGCCCGCGGAGCTCGGGGCCGCCCGGGGCGGCGTGCAGGTGGGCGCAGGCCGATGGTACCCCCGGCAGCCGGCCGGGGCCTCGCCGCCGTGCCCGGCCGCTCCCCGCGCAGCCGTCGGGGCCGGAGATAGCCCCGGCTTAGCGTGTTTGTTTGTTTACGGCCATTAGCGCGGGGCCGGCTCCGGCACTCGGCACCCGCGAGACTAATGGAGCAATTAGCGGCCCCGGGGCTGATAGCATCGCCCCGAGCGAAGGCCCCCGGCCGAGGCAGCGTGCTACCGGGCGGCCCGCGCTCGGGGCCCCGGCGGCTGAGGGGGCTCTCGGGGCGACTCCGCGATGCGCGCGGCCGCTGCAGGGCTGCTCCCCCCTCCTCGGCCTGGGGCGGGGGAGCCTTGGCTCCGCCGCAGCATCCGTACGACGAGCTCCATCCATTACAATAATCCCCTGTCTAAACAGAGCGCAGGAGCGGCCGGGACAACAAGGCCCCGCTGTAAACAGAGCTCAGGGTACGCCGCTAATGATATAAATAAAATAACCACTAATAGCCCGCTGACCCCGGCCCGGTCGCCTTGGGAAAGCCCCGGAGCCGCATCCCGGGGCTGACACCCGGCGGCAGGTACCGGGGCTGCGCCCTGCCCCGGCTCTCGCACCCCCCGCACCTCTCCGGGACGCCGCCGCTCGTCTCGGCCGCCCCAGCACGGACGGGATGGGCCCAAACAGGGCCAACCAAGGCGCGATCCTGCCTCGCTTCCGCGGCTTCCCCAGCCGGGAACGGCCGCTCTCTCAGCGCCGAAGCGGGCCCGATCCGATCCCACCGAAGCTGGGGCCGGCAATGCGGGAAAGCGCACGGGGAGCAAGGGCAGGGGACAAAACCTCGAGAAGGGCTTTCAACCGCGGGACGTGCGTCCCGAGAGTCATCGCCGGGGTTGTCGGTGGCACGGAAGCGGGTCCCGACGGGAGAACCGCTCTCGTCGCCGCGCCGCCCGGGGAGCCAATTCCGCCCGGCCCGGGCTCCCGTGCCCGCGGGGCGCGCCTGGCGCTCGGCCCGTCCGGGCCGCAGCTGCGGGCGGCAGCGTGCTGGTGCCAGGCGAACCCGTGGGGACGAAGAGCGTGGGCAGAGACCCGGCCGGCCTGCGGCCGAGCCCTAGGAACGGCGGCTGGAAAACTGGAAAAATACGGCCCTTAATTCTTCGGCCACCCAGGGCCGCAAAGGCCCAGCGCCGCTGCCTCGCCCTGCTCCGGCCTCTGCCCCTCTGTTCGCCGAGCGGCGGCCGCGGGCTTCGGGTGAGCACGGCCCCGTGTACGGCCCGCGGAGCCCGAGCCCGCAGTTCCCCGGGAGCCGCGAGGCGGGAGCGGGCCGAGGCCAGCAGCGAACGCAACACCGGAACGGCGCTAATCGTTACCGGGGCCGCGGCAGCGCGGGGCTTCTCTCCGCGCCCCGACACAGCGCCGAGCGCTGAGTCGGACCCGGTTATGGCGACAGTGTTTCCCGGTGCACCGTCGGAACCGGGCAGTCTGAGGAAAGAAGAAGGGAGGGCGGCCCCGGGAGCGGGCAGGGAGCGATCCGCAGCAGTCGCAGCGCGGGTTTCAAAGCGGCGCAGTGGGGAACCATGCGGTGCGCTCGGGCCGTCTCCGTGTCCGCCGGGCGAACGGGACCGGCAGCAGCCGAACCGCGGCCATCTGCGTGGGACGTGGGCCCTCTTCCCGGGGCTGCCCCGCCGTTAAATACGTTTCGCCGTTGCGGTCGGAGCGGTAGGACGCAGGGAAACGAAAGTACCGACACGGCCGGTAAATGGCGGAGCCGCCGCCCGGTACCGACCCGAGAGAGGTACCGACACTCACCTGCCCACCGTATGCCCGGCTTCCCGCCGCCTCGCCTCGGTGTCGATCCGAGTCCTGCGGGGCAGCAGCATTTTAATCACAACGAAATTTCCCACCCGGCCCCCCCCGCCCAGCACTTAGTGTGCCCGATCTGCCCTCCGCGGAGACGTTGAGCCCTTCGAGCACTCCGAGGGCCGCGGGGGCCCCGTCATGGGGTCCCGGTGCCGCCCGCCGCAGCGCGCCGGTGCGTTCGGTGGGGCCAAGGGGCAGCTCCGGGCCCGGGGCAACTCGGTGTGGAGCGGCTCGGCGGGCAGCGGCCGCTCGCTCGGTGCTTTACCCGCCGGCACGGTGGCGTGGGAGCTCCGTTCGGCCGCTGCCCGCTCGTTACCGGCGAGAGAAACGAAACGAAACGAAAGAAAACGAAAGAAAAAGCCGAACGGGCCGGGTTAGCTCTCCGTACTCCTGCCCCGCGCCGCCGCGGCCCCTGGTCGCCCGTCGGCCGCGACCCGGCCCTGTTCACCTGGGCCCGACGCTGGCGGGACTCTGGGGCCCGATCCGGCCGCGGCAGAGTGACGCGCGGTCCCCGGACGGGAGCAGAGCACGGCGGCTGCGGGGAGCCCGTGCAGGCGGGAGAGGACGCGCCAGCGCAGAGGTATATGCAGGAGCACTGGCGGGGCAGCGGGGCTCCGGAAAACACGGAGGGCGTCGGGTACGTGTACATCGCATGGCTACTGCCCGCCCGGACGCCGCGTACTCGGCAGAGGGGCACTTGCGGGGCCGCACGTGTTCGCTCCGAACCATGTGCGGGAGGGGACCGGCGGAGCGCGCCGGGTTGAGGGTCCCTACCTACCTACACGTGCTTAGCACTGGGAGGCGCGGCGCCGGCGGCCGCGGCTCTCTCCGGGGTCCCCGACCCCCGCGCCCGCGGGCTCAGCCCCGTCGGGTGAGTGCCGGGCCGGCGGGGCGCTCTCCGGGGAAGCGGCCTCCCCGAGCGCAGCCTTAATACATTGCTATTTCTGGCCCGGCGGCCGGAGTCGGGCAGGGGGCCGGCTCTGCCTCCCCCTCCTTCCAATGGCGAGGCCGCCCCCGGCCCCTCCTCGCCGTGACGTGCCGGCCCGGGGCAGAGGAGGCTCCCGAGCCCTTGGCTGTCCCTGCAGAAGCTGTAACAAAACGCAGACCCCCAGCGCCGGGCTAATGGAGGCAACTTAGACAGGAGCAGGCGCGGCCCCTCGTCTCTCGGCGCTGCCCGCTCCCCCCGCACCGGGCGCGGCGCTCCCCGCCGAGCCGCAGCCCGAGCGCCGCCGGGCCCCCGGGACTCCCCGGCCGCTCGCGCTGCCCCGATGATGTTACCGAGCCCCGTCACTTCCACCCCGTTCTCTGTCAAAGACATCCTCAACCTGGAGCAGCAGCAGCAGGACCCGCACTATGGGGCCCAGCTCCCGCACCACCTGGAGCACCACTTTCACCCCGCCGCCTGCCTGCTGGCGGCCGGCGACGGCGCCCGTTTCTCCGACGGCGAGGAGGAAGAGGAGGAGGAGAAGCTGTCCTACCTGAGCTCCGTGGCAACGCCCGGAGGCCAGGCGGACGCGCGGCTCTCCGCCGACAGCTACGTGCACGCCGTGCTGCGCGGCTCCTGCGAGGCTCCCGGCCCGGGAGAAGATCTGGACCCCACGGCCCGCGACCCGAGTGAGTACCGGCCCCACCGCGCTCCCTGCATCGCCCTCAGCACTCGCTCCCCGCCGTCCTTTCCGAGCCGCGGAGCCCCGGTACCGGCGATGCCCCGCAGCCGCGCCGCTCTGCGCTGAGCCCTTTCCCTGCCGCGTCCCCCAGGCACCTGGAGCGGGGAGTGGCACTTCGCGGGGCTGCCGTACCCAACCTCCGCTCCGCGGCGTTCCCCGTCCCCGGGCAGAGCCTGCGTGGAGTCGCGATCCGGAGCCTCCGGATTGTCCCACGCTCCCCCTCTTGGCGGGACGGGTGAGGCCCGGCCCGGGCGCGGTGCGGCGGAGCCCGCTTGGAAAGAGGCGGCGGACGAGCAGGTGCCCGGTGCTCGGCCCCGCGGGAACGCCGCCGCCTGCGCGGAATCGCTCCCTGCCCCGCCGCCCGCCTCGGTGCTGCTTCCCAGCCCGAGCCGCGGTTCCCTGACGGTCGCGGTGTCGGGCGTCGGTGCGCGGCTCGGGGCTCCTTCCCCGCGGGGCGGCCCGGCGCAGCCGTGACCTGTGCTTCTCCGTGCAGAGAGCTGCGCTCTGAAGAAACCACTGGACGCCGCGGAGAAGCCGGAGGAAGCGGAGCGGCCGAAGCAGCGGAGTCGGAGGAAGCCGCGCGTTCTCTTCTCGCAGGCGCAGGTCTTCGAACTGGAGCGGCGGTTCAAGCAGCAGCGTTACCTGTCGGCTCCCGAGCGGGAGCACCTGGCCAGCAGCCTGAAGCTCACCTCCACGCAGGTGAAGATCTGGTTCCAGAACCGGCGCTACAAGTGCAAGCGGCAGCGGCAGGACAAGTCGCTGGAGCTGGGCGGCCCCGCGGCCCCGCCGCCGCCGCGCAGGGTGGCCGTGCCCGTGCTGGTCCGCGACGGCAAGCCGTGCCTGGGCGGCTCGCAGGGCTACAGCTCGGCGTACAACGGGCCCTACTCCTACAACGGCTTCCCCGCCTACGGTTACGGCAACGCCGCCTCCTACAACCCCGGCTACGGCTGCACCTACCCGGCAGGCAGCGGCGGGGCCTCGGTGCAAGCCGCCTGCAGCCCGGCGGCGGCCGCCGGTCCCTTCGTTAACGTGGGCGGCCTGGGAGGCTTCGGCGGCGGCGGGCAGGCGCTGCACCAGGCGGCGGCGGGGCCCTCCTGCAGCCAAGGCGCACTGCAGGGCATCCGGGCCTGGTAGCCCGCACGCACTCAGGGCCGGGAGCGGACCGGCACGACGGCCCCGCAGCCCCGCAGCGCGCTTAAGCCCCGCGGACTGAAGGCGGAGGGGCGGCGCGGCGGGACCCCGGCTCTCTCCCGGAGCCGCGGGGCGGAGCGGAGCGGCGGAACGGAACGGGACTGGACGGGACAGGACGGGCCGAGCCCGCGGCGGAGCGCCGCCGCCCCGAGGTGCCGCCGCGACGGGCGGGCCGGAGCTGACCGCGCCGCGCCATCGGAGCAGCTTCGCTTGTAAAAAGCCGACGGCGGGGCCTGGGGCTCCCGCGGCCCTTCTCTCTATCTACTCTGTATCTGTTTCTGCCAGCGCCAGCTCGCGGAGTCAGTCAATAAACCAGGTGCAATATCTGCCGCCCGCTCCTCCTTCGCCCGGCGGCCGGTGCCCGGCGGGACTCGCTAGGCCGTGCCCGCGGGGCAGGGCGGCCCGGGCGGATTGTGAGCGTGCCAAGGCGTTGAATGGGGCCGCGCAGCTCAGAGCCGGCCCATTGTGGCCGCCGGGCCGGCGCTGAAAGGAGCCGCCGAGGAAGGTAGCGGGAATAGGCGCTTATTGGATTCGGGAACAAAAGGTGTGGCAGGGAGGCGAGGGACAAAGGGGCCCCGGCGCCGAGATTGACGGGCCGCTTTGCCCCCCACTGAGGCCCAGGCCCGGCGCTTTATGCGCGGGGGCTGCAGAAACGTGCTGGGTTTTGTTCCCCTTTCTCTGAGCGCAGGGGGAGATGAGGGGGGTCCGCGGGCCGCTGATTAGGGCCGGCCGGGCCGGGCAGCCTGAATGCCGGGGCATTATTGCTACATGTTCAACCATTCCGCTCTGCTGCAGGGGGAGGGGGCTGACGAGATCCTCAACGCTGCCCGGCGACCGCTCCCGCCCCATCCCCGTCCCGTCCCGTCCCGTCCCGTCCCGTCCCGTCCCGTCCGGGAGCTCGCAGCCACGGGTGCGGCCCCTCCGCGGAGCCTCGGATCAGTGCCGCTGCCGTGCAGAGCCCGGAGGATGGGCGTCCGCGGAGCCCCGACTGCGCGGGGTGCGATCCCGCAACGCGTCCGTCCCGCAGCCAGCACAGACGTGCCGCGTTATGAGCGTTGGCACCGCTAAAACGCTGCGCGTCTGCACCGTGCGGGTGAGAGCGCGCCGCTCGGAAAGAGCCGGAGAAATTTTCAGCTGCAGCTCCGACGCTCGGCACGGTACGGCGCGGTTCGGCTCTGCACGGCACGCCGTGGCCGTGTCGCACGGCCACCCCGAGGCCGGGGGGCTCTGGAGCAGCGCTGGAAGAGGATGCGGCACGCCCAGCGATTGTTTGCCGGGTGGCAGCGAGGTGTCGAGGGAGAGGAAGCCCAAGCTCGGCTCTTGGCCGTGGGAGCTGAGCGATGGAGGCTCCGCAGTCTCGTGGGTAGAAACAGGATAGCCAAGAACAAAGATAGCAGAGCGGCAGCCCCGCGCTGAGGTTGGATTCGGCTGTAGGAAAGAACTGTATTCCCTTCTGTGTTCTGCCATATTGTCGTTTGCAGAAATAGGGGACGTGCGTGAGTTTGTGCCTCAGTGAGCAAGATGGAGGAATGGTAACCTCAGTACAACGTCCTCCAGAATAGGGGTGTGCAAGGAGAGCTCCCCACTTAGTGCATCGCCTCCAAGTAAGTGATGGTTTGTTGGGAACTCTCCTCATCCAGCAGCACCCTGAGGCTCTGAATGAGATGCACACATCTGTGGCCAAGCCTTGAGAATGGGCACTCAAACAGAGCAAAGGGGCACGTGGAGACCCTACTGGCCTACACAGCAATGCCATGCAGCAGTGGCGTTACGGAGCACCAACAGCACCAAGCATTGCTGTAGGCATGGGTGTAGTACTGTGGGAGGTTCTAGATGTCCACCATCGTGACCCCCTCTGCTGGGATACATCCCAGCTGTCCCACCAGCACAGCTCAGGGGGAGGGACCCTTCAGCATCTCCCTCACCCAAGGCCCCCCAGCAGATGGGGAGGACGGAACAGCACAAGGCGAGCTGCGAGCGGGGCGGCGGAAGTGAAGCATTCTGAAGAAGAGGAACAGCCGGTGGTGGTGGGAGGGAGGTGATGGGAGACTGCAGATTGGCCAAGCGGCCCAAGGAGGGGACACACAATGAGGGGAAGTGGCTGCATTGCTGTGCTGGAAGCAGCGCCTGCCCATGATGTACTTCATCCCATCGCGCCCTGCGCGAGGCCACGTGTGCGATGTGCTGTTGGGACCCATCAGCACATGTGCGTGGTGCTGTGGCTGTGGTGGTGGGGCCAGAGGGATGTTGGGGAAGGAGAAAGCCATGGCCAAGGGGCAGAGTTGTTTATTCCTGGTCCAAAAGGCAAATTGACTCTTGTTTGGGAGAGGGAAAGCGATGATTGATTAGGGCCCAAAAGCCCTACAAAGACTAAAGCAAAGGAGGGCTTGGGTGCAGAGGCTGGGCTTGAACCGTCACACCTATGGTCCACGTGGTGCATGGGCTCAGGTTTTGATTTCTATTCACATTTCCTGGCTGAGGATGAGCCATGAGCAGCTCTGTGCAGCAGCTGAGCGGCTCCCAGGAAAGGCTTCTCACATCCCATCACAGCCACTTTCCTATGGCCTCTCTGTCACACTCAGGATCACACAGGAGCAGCATGGATCCATATGAAGCACCGCAGACATGCTCTGCTTTCCTTTCCTTCCCCAACACCTTTTCTTGTTTCTCCTTTCCACTCCCTGTGGCACAGCAGGGACCAGGCACTTGGGGACCTGCAGCAGCACTCAATGGTGGGGGGGATCATGCTGGGAGCATCCCACAGTGCAGCACGGAATTGTTAACTCAGTGCTGGGGAGTGCTAAGGAAGCTGTGGCCAGCTGTGGAACAGGTAAATATATTAAAATATCAATAAAGCCCATTGCTGTGCAGCTCCCAGTGAGGGTTTCTCCCACTAGCACAACAGCACGCTTCTTTTCACGAGTGAGCTACACAACCATAAGCACTCCCCCATCCTCACTCCTGTCCCATGCATCACGAAGTGGCCACACCTGGCCAAAGGGGGGCACCTGCATTTTGCAGCCCGATCCCTGCGCTGGTGAGTCCCGATGCAGAGCCGCTGTAAAGGATTCAAGCAGAGGACAGAGGGAAAAGGCTGCGTCTGCTGCACTACGCAGAGCTCCGTGCCACATTTCGCGGCTGTGCAATAAATTCCGCGAACGCTTCGCAGGGACGAGCTCACTCCCAGCTGCGACACGGGGCCCGGCCTGTCCCCAAGCAAGATCCACCACCGCCACCTATCGGCGGGCACACGGGGACAGGGAACGGGCAGCCCCTCTTCGTCCCACAGCGGTGGGATCTCCAGCAGCGCCCTCCGCAGACGTCCTGCTCTGCCCTCAGCCCCAGCCCAATGTCCAGCGCTGCAGCTCCCGGTCCCACCGCACTGGGGGTCGTGGTGCCCGTCGCCCGCAGCACTGCCAGCCCCGGGCTCGCCAGAGGGAGCTGTATCCCCACGGGACGTGTGCCCAATGTTGGCCCAGTTCCTACTCCTTTCCCTTCGTGTAGCAGCTCGCTGCCAAGGTCCAACGCGCATCCGAATGTTCTGGGGCCAGAGGAAGCCGCTTGGGTTTTTGCATTTCTCCTGGAACCTGCTGTGCCCTGTCAGGAGGCTTTAATGCCAGCCCTTGTGCCACCAACACCTGGAACTGCCTTCAAATGTCCCTACTGCACTAATTCAGGCACTGCTTCCTACAGTGACCTGTTAGTGTCCACAAAGCAGGTTCCCAGCCACCGTTTACCTCTCAGTCTGAAGCCTGCGCTCCCCTATCTGCACACCACAGCTCCAGGGCTCCCCAGAACCCACATCTGCTCTGTGTCCTGAATTTACCACTGCTGTGGGGCCGTAGGGTCATGAGAACGTGTATAACTTTATTGGGGTCTGACAGAGTCCTGAGGAATCCCAGAGCCAGTGCTGGGCAGGCTGTGATGACACCTCAGCGCTTCCCAAGCGTGCCTCCAAGCAGGGCAATGGCTGCCCCGTGGCCGTGGGTGGGATGGGGCTGGGGGTCCTGTGGGGAGGTGAAAGGGAAAGGGTCGCCTCCAGCCTTTCGCTGGGATGAGCGCAGCTCCCTCTTTGCAAGGCCAAAAATAGCGCAGTTACTCAGCAGAGGCTGTAGGAGGGGTTTCACATGACGCACAGCCAAATGCCGGGGAGGCCACAGGACGCACCCACGTGGCTTCGCTGAGGCATTATCAGAGCTGGGGAGGGCAGCAGCCATAGCTGAACCATCCAGCCCAGCTCTGAGCCAGAAGGGCTCAATGCCTTCGCTGCTGATGGAGAACGTGTTTTGGGGAAGCCACCACCATGAGCAGGGCTGCAGGCTCAGGGCGTGAGGCTGGTGGCTCACTGTCAGGGATGCACCCTGGCAGCCCGAGGAGTGCCCCAGGAACCAACCTTGGAGCACCCTCAGTGCTGAACTTGGGGTTTCTTGAGCAGCCCTGCTTCCTGCAGCGCTGCTGTTCTCGTGCAATGCTGCACTGCTCTGTGCCAGCAGAGCTGCAGCAGCCAGGAGGCCATGCCCTGCCCAGGTCCATTGCCTCTCGACTGCTGACTTATCACATCCCTGCTCTCAGGGGTCTCTCTCCCTCCCCCCGCACTTCTGTGGGCAGTTATTCCTGGAAACATCTCTCTCCTCATCCCAGAGTCACCTTCAATCATGCCTTTGCCCACTGACATTTACAGAGCAGCTCGCAGTGGCAGACAGATTTAATAGCGTGAAGCTCCACTGGCCCCTGCCCCTGTTTATGCCTTCCTCTCTGAGGTGGCTGCAGTGCGAGGGCTGAGGGTGAAATTGCAGCTCCACTTTGGCTCTGCAGGACCAGGCTGTTCCTCGTGTGCTGCCCACTTGTCCTGCCACAGTTTCGCCCAACGGTTTCAGCTTCTCAGATTTCTGCCTCTTGGGTGGAGGAGCTGCAGGGCTGCCAAATCTTGCAGTGCTCAGGATATTTCTTAAAGCCCCACAGCTCCTTGAACAGTGGTGAAATGAGGCTCCCAGCTTTCCAGCAGCTCTGGTTTCTTTGAGGAGAGCCCGATCCTCCTGACTGCATGGAACAGTGGGGTACAGGAGCAGAAGACTGGCACACAATTCAGCCAGACCCCCTTCCCCTTTCCACAACTGGAACATGACGGGCAGAATGACCCCACACAGGGCAGCCAGCAGCCCCAAACCCACAGGGACACTGACAGGCAGCACATACTGGGACTGTGAAAGCATTTCCTCCAGGGAGTTATTTCAGGCATGGCACCCTGTGGGAGGATGAGGCAGTGCAGGCTCACGGCATCATGGAGTGAAATGGAGGTGTTCTGATCTTCTCCATCCTGCCTGTG